AAATAGATAGGTGGATGGACGGACGGATGAACCAGCGAGCCAGCCAGCGAGCCAGCCAGGCCCGCCCTCCACCGCCCTGCCCTGCCCTGCCCAGCCAGCCCCGCCCTGCCCGCCCAGCCCTGCCCAGCCAACCCAGCCCTGCCCTGCCCTGCCCTGCCCTGCCCAGCCCAGCCCAGCCCTGCCCTGCAGGGCAAGCCCTGCCCAGCCCAGATTAGCCCAGCCCTGCCCTGCATTGCCCTGCCCTCTCCTGCCCTGCCCTGCCCAGCCCAGCCTAGCCCAGCCCAGCCCAGCCAGCCCTGCCCCTGCCCCTGCCCCTGCCCCTGCCCTGCCCTGCAAGCAAGCAAGCAAGCAAATAATAAAAGGGCAGTCCAGGCGTCCCCGCAAGGCGAGGTCTGAAGAAGGGTCCTGGAAGTTTTTAAGCAATGACACAATTATTTAGTATTGTGAGCTTGGAAATTTAAATATGAAAAATAAAACTATTGAAGGATTCTCACATATCACCAACAAGCTAGTACAACCATATCAGACATTCAGATGTTAAGAATGAAGCATGTCCCAAAACCCAATTACAATCCAAAAAATGGGTACTGATTTTATCTCTACGAAGCTATGACCTCCATGACTCAAATAAATAAATGCTGACCTCCATGACTCAAATAAATCCCCAGAAATTCATTTCTATTAAGAGTATAGAAATAAAAAAATGTGGCTGGAATTACCTGTGGCAAACAGTACAGCATCTGCCAGCAAAGATCCACCATGGTCCGTATGTACCCTGATGCCATCTTCTGTTTTCACTAACTGAGTAATCAAGCCATCATTTCAATTCAGTAGTAAAGCATGAATGCAGTGATGAGACAACAATAGTTAATAGGAAAGCTATGAACAATTAGATATTGGCGATTCCTATTTTCTACTCAGATGGAAGCATTCATACATTAACTATTCTATTGTTGTGTAGTTTACTAGGTTATGCCCAAAACCATAGCCAATGGATCTGTATGTGCTTCAATCAATGGTGTGTACTGATGTAATCTAAATATTCATATAAATCAACTGTCTCTCTTCTAACAAGAATATTGCAACACTTTGCAACCTTTCATTGGACCAGAACTCTACAGTACCTCAGTCAAGGTTGTGCAAGGATGCAAATTGACTCCCTTTCCTTCTAAATTCCTTGCAACTACAGCTCACATTTTATCATCAAAACCTCTGCAGAAAATTCCATGTCACAGCTTATGAAATTAAGATAGCAATAGATATATTTCATGCAAATTTATTACTTGTGAAATTACAAGACCATTTTTCACTCTAAAAAAGTGGATCTCTAATTTAAAAAAAAAACTAATTTAGAATCCAAGAAATATTTCTGAATAATGAAGAAGGATTCTAGTTTGCGGACCAGACACCTTCATATCACACATTTCAGCACAGATGAGTCATATATGACCTGGGCCTGACTCTTTGTAGGAGCAGTAACAAAACACTGCAGGGTGACGACGAAGCAACTAGCTTAGTTGGTTGTGGAGTCACCCGGTTATCCCGGAGGTCAGGAGTTCAATTCCCGTCGGGAGCAGTTTGAGCTCTTGTATTCCCTCCCCCTGGGACCCCCCAACCCCTCCCCCGACCCCCAGCCCCCCCCCCCCCACCCCCCAAAAAAAACACTTTAGGGTGACAAGAAAGAAAAGGTAGCAGGAGAACATTGTTGATTGTAGTCTGAGTGCTTGGGATGTTGATTAACTATTGAAAAGATTGGCATTTCAATCCAAGAGCATCAGAGTCAAATGGAGTATACGAGTCCTTAGCATTCAATCTCTTATAGAAGTTGCAAATGTGCCCCTTAAAGTATAAAAAACTATTGGGTGTGGAAAAATAGCAAATACAATTTCAAATTTCCAAAAAGATTAGAGTAAGTGATCTCATGTTACATTAGTAAAGCCATTGAGGAACCATAGATTCAGAGTAGAATACAAAATTTCTAAAAAGATTAGCGCTAGTGAACTCATGCTGCATCTGTAAAGCCAGAGATGAACCATACACATGTCAGTAAAGTTAAATAGATCCAGTACACATGTCAATAAAGTTAAATACTCAAAGTCTCAAATGCAGTGTCTTGTTTATAGGGAAATTAAATTATGCAGCCTTTTATATTTATACAAATATACAACACTTAAAGAAAGAAGAGAGAGAAAACAATGTTAATAGAAAATTGTAACATCCGCAAAGAAATAACCCTTTTGGATGGTCTGGATACAGATCACTCATGAATTCGAAAACAATCATAAAAGAAACCTTAGATGCAGCCCAAGACCACATAAACACTGGTCTTCAATTCAAAAACTCTTATTATATTTATTAAGCTTAACCTAGTAGTAATTCAAACAAAAATCTTTACCTGCATGTGCGTTTTCCTAGATTCACTCAAATTCACGAGGATTACATAAATTAACCTCGACCAATGGGACTTGCAAAACCGTCTCTAATCTTTGTATTCTTTTGATTTCAGATACTACTGCTTTCTGGTTCCTTTAACATTTCCTGTCCTTTATGTTGCTGTATATTTCCATTGGCTTAGCATGAAGCTCTTTAAGCACGCCTAGAGGATATGATCAAGTTACGAACTAATGTAGTCTTCTGCATTGTTATCTGGTAAAATCATTTTTGGTGATTTGATATTGACCGTAACCATGGTCATTTGATCAATTGGGTCTAAAACCAGCTGCCAGAAAGGGTTTACGTAGTTCCTGCATTGTTGTGCCGTAATCTGCAAGTGGAAAGATTTCTATGTTACCAGTTGCATCACTGCATAGTCTGCATGAGCACTTGTTCTTGAAAATGAACAATAAAATGATGTATATGTTCTGGATCACTGTACTTATTACTGTTTTCTGAATCTGATTGCACACCTGAGACCTTTCATAGTTAGAAATGCATCATTTATGGATGCTTATGTTTTTTTGTTTAGGTCTCCTGTGGTATTGTATTTTTCCATATGTTTAATAAAAGAAAGAATGACACCAATATTACTCTTCGGCTTTTGTTGGACAAAATATAACCACTTTGGAAAAGTACACAAAATTGATCGGGTAAAACATCTGCTTTCAACTTACGCTTTCGTCATCCTATCTTCCGCCCATACACTTTCGTCTTCCCATCTTCTGCCCAAGACTTCCGCACAGCTCCAACGCGATCTCCGATTCCAGGCCATTGCCTCTGATTCCATTTCATTGCATCCAGGTTGCTCTGCAGTTGCCATCATTCTTGTACACCGCACTTCCCGTCATTCTTCTATTTCTTCTCATTCTTTTCGATTTTGGGGGCTTCATTGTCGTCTTTAACACTTAAAATTTCAGATTTGGGATGGGACGGTCGAAATCTAAATTGGTGGGGCTAGGTTTTAGGCTTTTGGCAGTGTAAAGGGGTTGGGGGAAGGGGTTAGGTAGGAATGGTTGGTGGCATCAAGTGCCGGCGGTGGTAGGGGATTGTCGGTTGGGTTTGTGGGATGAGGGCTGGGGCAGAGCTGGTGGTGTGGGGCAGGGTTGATGGGGATGGGGGCAAAGCTTGTGGGGTAGGGTGTTGGTAGGCTGATGGTGTGGGGCAAGGTTGATGGGGATGGGGCGGGGCCGGGCTGGAGTGATGAGGGTAGGGTTGGGGTGATAAGGGTAGGGCTGGGGTGATGGGGTGCAACTGTGCAAGGGTGTGGTGATGGTGGTGGGGCAGGGAGGCAGGGTGTTGCAGGGACAGCCATTGTGGCGGCCGGTTGTGGTGGTGGTCAGTGACTTAACCGGCGGGGTGTCCATCTCACTCACGTGGGCCACGTCGCTAAACAAAAACGACCACAATGACATGTTTCATGGTGTGAGTGACATGAACGGTGATCACAGTGACATAGGTGATGGCCACAGTGATATAGGTGACTACAGTGACATGAGCGGCGGCTACAGTGACGTATGCGGTGGCTACAGTGACATCGATGATGGCGACAGTGACACCGATGGTGGCGATAGTGACATAAAAATATAGCAGTGATATAAAATATTTGACATGCAGTGACATAACGTTTTTCCAATTCTATGACCTTCATAGTCACATTTTTGTCATGTTGTAAAAATGGTCACATTTTTTGAAATTGACTTTATTTTAGTACTACCACCGCCCCCCTAATATTGGGACGGAAGAGAGTGATGTGATTTTTAAGGAAAGTAAAATTATGTGGTTGATAATGAGTTGATAAAATGGAAATAAAGTAAGAATGAATTAGAATCACACAAATGTTGCCGAATATGGTACGAGACAATAATAGGGTGACATTGAAAATGAAAAAAATATGACAATTTTGGGGGACAAAAGGAGTAATATTCAAATAAAAAATCATTAATAGAAATGGTAAAAGTTCTACAACATTTATCCCATCATAAGATGGTTTACCTACTACGACTAATAAAAGATCATGTCAGTCGCATGAAAATTCTATGCAAGGATAAACTAGTATCTCGCTAGATACAATTAATATACATACCAACATTATGCACAATCAGAAACAATATACATAACAGGTCAGTGATATTTCAGGAGACATGGACAATAAGTGAACTCCAAAAACTATTAGGTGAGATAATATGTGTACAATATTCTGCATGCAAAGAATCTATAGACACATATACCTTTTTATATTTAATTTACACGCATTTACGTACGCTAATTAATACTAAGGATGTTTTTATTTGAACTATTCAGTTTCAGACCAGACCAGACTTAAACAGATCAAAGATCAGATCAGACTTCCATCATTATCATTATAAGATACTCATCAAACCAGACTAGACTCATCCAGATCAGACCAGATCAACAAATTTCAGTCAAAATAAAAAACTGAAACATCCCAAGTCTCACCAAAAGCACACGTTCAATGACTCAGGGTTAAAGAAAACGTTATAAGCAAAACATTCAGACTTGAATAATGTAAATATCCTTATTATAATGATGTGTATAATGTTATCAATATGAATTGCTACATTTATATAATCTATCTAAAAATGAGTAATATGATATAATTGTTTCAGGCTTATTTTCACTCTGGACATATAATACTCCAGTTGTACTCCAGGCTTAGTATATATATAAAAAATAAACATGTATACAAATATTTGTACACATACAGTACTCACACACATAGAGACATAATATGTAGGGAGTATATCTTATCCACCTCGACTTTCCTTCACTCTTTTTTCCTGCCCTCCTCCGCAAGGAACAATGTCCTTCTTCCTCTTTCTAGTAGAGAGTGTATGGCACTCCTCTTGTGTTTCTTGTCTAGATCTTCTCTTATTCATCATCTCATGGCACACTTTCAAACCATCCTACATACCCCAACGTATAGTCTAATTAATTGCCATCTTTTGATCCATCACTACTTTCCAAAGACAAGTTCAATTCTTGAAATATTGAAAAGACTATTTTTCTTTGATTTTCACTCAAAGATTGATTTGAAGATCATTGTGAAAGAGAGTGCATGTATTATATAAGTAATGGGAAATGTAAATAGAATATAAAAAGTATGAAAAAGAAGGCAAAATTGCAATTTCAGTACCGTTTGTACATTTGGTCATGTAACTAATAAATCTTTGCAATATAAGCATTTTCCCCTAGAAAATACGCTTTCCATCCATAAATTCGTTGTAAGATATGTCACCAACATTAAATTTTCTGCTGGAAAGTATACTTTCCAGTCGGTGGAAAAGTTCTTAAATTGCGAATATTTATTAGTTACATGACGAAGTCTATAAACAAATAAAGTTGCTGGCTATGTTGCACGGAAACACGAAAATCATTAGGAAACGGGAAACGGAAAATGTCAACTTTTGTTCAAAAAAGGCTCGTTTGGATGGAGATTTTCCAAAGAGTTTTCGTAGAGTTTCCAAAACGAAAACATACTCTTTTCCGAGAATTTCCATGCTACATAGGTTACTGGACTAATAATAACATGCAAATCCGGAAGTTACGAGACCAAAATTGCAATTGACCCGAAAAAGAATAAACATGCATAACATATTTGCCACATGCACACCTTTTGATCTTGAGGAAGGGTAGAAGTGAAATGTTCGAAATACTGCAGGTTGCAACCTCGGTTAGGTATAATTACATCTTTGAGGACGCACTGAAGTGTAGCTTCTGCCACAACACTCGGTCGGAACTCTAGGAACTTAGGATCTGCTAGCATTTATAACAAACCATTATTGAAGATATATAATACGGAGTATATATTAAATAGATTTAATTCCCAAAGTAGAAGTACCAAAAGTAGATTTACAAATTTTAAATTTCTAAAATATGAGTAAAATGAGTTAAGAATGTTCTTTATGTGTACAATTTCCCCTTCCGAACAAAACAATCACAACGGAACTCACAAGCCCGGCAGCGGTACCTCCAACAGAAATTAATTGGCTTGCCATGCGGCAAGACAATTACTTATTATATTGCAATTGTTTTATTTTTTTATTTTTTAATCTAAATTTTTTAAAAAATATATCAAATTTTTTACTTTTACAATCTTTCATTGACTCCAATATTGCACATAAAAAATTTTAAAAAAAAATCCATCTAAAAGTTAGTATTCATAAAAAAACGATTTTTTCCAACTTTTTCACATTCAATATTAAAAAAACCTTAAAAAGTTATTAAATCTGATATATAATTTTAAAAAAATTGGACAATAAATTAAAAAGTTATTACTAAATTGTCAAATGGCAACATGTGAGCTAAGAGGGTGATGTTCACTCTCCAAGAAGGGGGTGAACAAAATTAAACTCCCTCCAACAAGATACTAAATTGTACACGTAGTACAAGTCAAATTGGTAAACCCTAAAATATTAACCCCTAAATTTTAAAGGTAGATTCTATGGTACCCATAAGGTACCATACCTTTGTCCACATGGACCAATGAAAATGTAGCAGTTGAGTTATTTAAATCTAAATTAAAAATGATAAAGTGATATGGTCCAATTAAATGAAGGATAGGTACGATACCCTATTTTTTAGAAAGGTACCGGAGTTGTCACCATTTTTAAAAGGGTTGATAAACCTACAAGATTAACCACCTTGAGATAGCACAAAAGATACGGGATTGATAAAGCTTTTTGGCTAGGATTCATCAAAATTCACAAAGGATGTGACAGAGATATGCCAAATATGTACCATAAACATTTTTATAGTGTATACCTGACCGCTGATGTTGGGCTGCCACCAACCTTAGGTAGGGTTGAAGGCTAACCCTAAACACTATAAGGATTAATAAACCCTGAACCCTAAACCCGTAGGGTAAGAAATTGATTGGAACTCCTATTTATTGATTTAAACATGTAGTCCTACTTTTAAATGTTGACAACCTTTTAGTATTTTCTCCCAATCAGGACAATTTGTCTTAGTATTCCTTATTATTTGAGTTTCTACTATCCACGGAAGTTAAGTTTTAATTCATCACATTGTACTTAGCTTTTGAGTATTAATTAAGAATTTAGAATCAATTTGAGAGAAGTAATTCAGAGACTAATAATAATTTATTTATTCAAAAACAATACATATTTTTTCATCATTTGCAATGGAGCCAAAAATTCATTATTTTTTGGCTTGAGATTATGATGGAATAAAGCAAAATGGCTCACTAAACTGTCTGCGCTTCTTTGTTATGGAGTAGCAGTCAGTCCATGCAATCTTGGATGCGATTTTCACTATGGGTCATCCGGAAACAGTCTCTCTGTGCTTTAGTACAGAGGTAAGACTACGTACATCCGACCCCCCTTACCTCACCGTAGGTGGGAGCCTTTGCGGCACTGGGGTAAATGAAAATGATGAAAAACAATACATATAGCATGCACCTGTATTAGGTTACGTACCAAAGAGTAGGTCAAGAAGCATCTCAGTAACAGCATGTGATGTTTTCATCAACACATCGTCTTGTAGAGTAAAATTGCAAGGGATGAGAGTACGTTTCCATTCCACGAGTTGCAGATAAGAGTAAGGAGTTATAGACTTCATCTTCCATCCAAGAGTCTCCACAAGCCTCAACTCCATCCGTCTAATTAGCTCATCTTCAAAGGGATGCTCTACCCCCTCCATCTGCATGCATGTCATCATGCATCATGCATGCCATCTTATTGTTAGTTTAGAGCAGTGACAGAGCTACAAATCGATGATTAAGGAAGCTGAGCTTTGAGAATTTTACATTGTCGAGGCAAAAATTTAAAATACGTACTAACATATTTGCTCTAGATTCAAAGTATTTATACATAATATATACTTAAGAATTTTTTTCTTGTGGGGGCCAGGGGCCCCTCCCGTCCCTCCCTATTTCCACCCCGGTTTAGAGACCATGCACACTACAAAACCAAGGGTTGGGAGCAGGCTAATAGGATAGAGGTTCATAAGGTTATTTGGAAAAAAGTCCAATAATTAGTAGGGCTCACATTTTGTTTTCATAATAGTATATAGTACGTAGTATAGTATACTCCATTGATCGTCGTTTTAATCGCAACATGTTGAATTTTACACTATTCACATGCTCTACTTTGACTACATTTTACGCTATTATTTTATGAAAATTATTTTTTTAAAAAAATTATTCTTCAATTCATCTCATTACAAATTTTCAAAATCTTATTTTATATTTTTTAACTAATAGAATTAAGATATAATTACGGTCAAAGACGTGCGTTGGCAAATGTGAAATGTTGATCGTTGCAACTAAAAAAGAACGGAGGAAGGTATATAGTACATAATATTGAATACTACACTCATCCGTTTTTATTTAGTCATCTATGAATTTTCTAGTAAAAAATGTTAAATTTTGATTCATTATATTAACTAAAATATACTCTGCATGCCCTTTTTCTTTAGTCAAAATTGACTTTTCAAGTCAAAGAAGTTAAACTTTGACCAGTTATATATTTATACACCTATTGATAATATGAAAATAATATGAAAATTTTGTTTGTTAAAAAATATACTACACAAAAGTATAAATTTATTATTATGTTTCACTTAAATATATTAGTTAAAATAATGGATCAAAATTGACGATCTTTGAATGGAAAAGTCAAACATGGCTAAATAAAAAAGGACGGATGTACGAGTGAAACTTAATAAATTTACACTTTTATGATAATATTTGTAACAAAGAATATTTTAATATCATTTTCATGTCATCAATACTATCGTGTATAAATATATAATTGGTCAAAATTTAACAATATTGATTTGAAAAGTCAAAGTTAGCTAAATAAAAAGGGACGAAAGGAGTTTTAAATTTATCGTAGAATGTTGTACTACTTAGGATTTTTTACTTGGACTGTAATTCGTCCCAGACCAGACCAGACCAGACCAAACCAGTTCAGACCAGACCAGACCATATCAGACTTGAATAGTTATAAAAATAAAAAGAAACCAGACCAAACCAAACCAGACCAGACCAGTTCAGACCAGACCAGACCAGACCAAACCAGACTAGACCAGACCAGCAAATTACAGTCCAAGTAAAAACATCCTTAATAAGGAGTAAACAAAAGGGAGTAGTTACTATGACTGTTTTAAATTTTTGTACTATAACGATCATGATGTCACGCTCACAGTAACTTTAGACATAATATACGGAGTACGAAGTATTAGAATGGGTGAATTCCGGAATAAAACATAGGCGGAATAAAACATAGGCAAAATGAAAAAATAGAAGTACCATGTTTTGAATAGGAGTAACTTTAGTATTTGGACAAGTATACCCCTACCCAAACCCCAAACTCTAACAAATTTCATTAATAATTAAAACATAAAAGAAATACTCCATAAGATTAATTAATTTATAATAAAATTGTAAAAAAAACACAAAAAATATCAAAAAAATATACTCCGTATTAAATAAAATAAAAAATTATTAAAAATAAATAAAATAAAAAATAAAATACTAAAAAAATAAAAAAAAATATGTAGGCGTCTGTCGCCACCTCAACAACCTCTCAGCACCACCAGCTCCGACCACCGAAAAAATGCCAACATTTTCCCGAAATGCCATGAAGATGGCTGATTTTGAGAAAATTTTGAATTTTCAAAGAGTAAAATTGCCATCTTCTTGGCATTTTCAAAGAAAAATGGCAGTTTTTACATAAAATGGCATTTTTTTCGCCGATCGGAGGTGACATTTTGGGTGATTACCGAGGCTGTGGGAGAGGCCTGCATAATTTTTTTATATTTTTAATGCAATTTATCTATTTTTTTATTTATTTTTAAAGTTTTTTTTTTTACAAAAATAAATTTTTTAATATTTAATATTGTAATATTGGTTGAACTTAGATTATTTTTAACATTAAATTGCATGCATAAAGGTTTCGTTTCCAATGAATGAACTTAGATTTTTTTTAATAGGATCAAATAAGTTATATTTTAGAATTAACTAGGTTAGGGATATTAAGGGTACAAAATTAATGTTTACTCCTATTGAAGGAAGTTTTAAGTTTTACTCCTATTTGTGCAATTATGTTTATGTTTACTCCTATATTGGGCAATTTCTCTAAGAGAAGGGTTCGGGTGAGCCAACTTCAATTTTGGCCAGTACACTTTAACGATTATGTTGTTAAAATCTCACATCGGATATCTCTGAAAGAATTAACATATGTTTATTAATACTCCGTATTATATTACTCCGTATTATGTTAATTATATGGATTAATAGTAATAAGAACTTAACCTGAAATGCATGCAATGAAGGAAGGTGAGTTTCATTGAATTTAGAAGCCACGTACAAGCATGCAATTGATAGTAAATCGAACATGCAACACTCCCATCCCTACGTACATAATGCAGAGCAAGTTATTCAATGCCAAGCATGGTTAGAGATGCACTTTTATTTCAAAAACCCTATATAATTAATTAATTAATTAATTAATTAATTAATTACATGAATTAAATGCTGGTCATACTTGACATTTTCTTAATGATATGAAGCGATCAATGTAATTTGCTGCACAGAATATGCTTTCGGGGGAGAGACTCAGCCGTTTTTGAGACTGCAAATCAATTTAAAAGCTAAATGACATTTATTTGTAAGCAAAGCACATCATCACCTAATTAAATCATGAATAAAACATTCAAAACACTGTTAATAGTCATTCAAAATACTACCCAGATTAACTACAATGTAGTATTGTACAATTATTATACATCCAGCGGCACACCCTCCAATTTCTTTTAAGTATATTTACCCCGAAATTTTTAATATATATATATATATATATATATATATATATATATATATATATATATATATATATGATCGGGTTCTAATGAGAAGACATCTTAACGTGAGAAGTGAGAAGTTACACATTTATCTATTTCTGATGCACTTTTTTGCTATTCTGGTGCACTTTTTGCGATGGCAGAAAAGTTCCGATTAATTACGGAAATGTCACTGCGTCTAGCATCACTTTTTAAATATATTTTGCACTTTCCAGTGCACTTTTTTGCTAATCTGATGCACAGATCTTAAAATGAACGCACCAGATGCATTCTCACTTCTTACGATAAGTCATCTTCTCATTTGATCCTTATTCTATATATATATATATATATACCGCCGCCCCTCCTACCGGGAAATCATGCGTCCGCTGCTGTTCATAGTTTAAAGAAGGGATAATTTGAGTTTGCACCCCACCTTATTGTCGAAATTAGGCTTTGCACCCCATTTTTGAAATCTTTAGTATTTGCACCCTAACCCCGTATGAAAAGACAAGAATGCCCTCGATCAGAAATATGTTGAAGACCAACAAAATTGTTAACTGAGGGGCATTTTAGTCTTTTCATACGGGGTTGGGGTGCAAATACTAAAGATTTCAAAAATGGGGTGCAAAGTCTAATTTCAACAATAAAATGGGGTGCAAACTCAAAATATCCCTTTAAAGAAAAAGTATTTAAGCTCCAAGTACGTACATTCCTACTATGCACACTTCTTCAAATATTTTAAATATGAAAATTATATGGAACTGTTCATTGTTAAAAATATGTCCATAAAAGTATATATAGAAGTTGTAAATATTACACAAATACAATAACTAAAATGATCGTTTAAAGTTTAATAACATTGACCAGAATCAGTCAATTTAGGACGGGTATTACATTACCCAGGGTATAATTTTTCGTAGATACAAACAACTTCCTCATACCAATAAAAAGAACTACTAACTTCTTTTGGATTTTTTACTTCGTGCTGTGGAGGCTAGTTAGTATATTATAACATTATTTAATTCTTGCAACAGTTTGACTTTCAGGTTTTTCCAACACACAACTTTGACTGTAATTATATTTAATTATGTATTAGTAAATATTATAAAAATTTGATATTTCGGAAATTCACATGGACATGAATTTAATAACATTTTATACGTATTAATTTGATTATGTATATTAGTAGAAAATCGTGGTCAAAGTAAGGTTTGTGAATAGTGGAAAAATTACAATGTTGCAAGAATTAAAGAACGGAAGAAGTATATACAAAATAAACTACGTAGTAATTCATCTCTACACATAGTCCCAACGCACGTGCTCTGTATCTAGTATAATCAATATCCACTTAGATTTTTGAATCCGCTCTTAATTGATAACTAGTACTCCCTCCGTCTAATCAAGTTTATAGTCAACATTTCATGGCCTTCAATATTAACATTTGAGCATTGATATGTAAAAATATACACTTATAAAACTTATAATAAACTAACATTTTAATAATGGTGAAATTCACAAGAATAATCTTTACTTTTATGGTTTCTAAAATAATAATCCCAATTGAGATTGTCCATAAAAATAATCCGTACTAGCAATAGGATCCATAAGAATGAATTGAAATGAATTAAAATTACTACCTATGTAATACTCTCAACTCTACCCCCACTTTCTCATTCACTACTCTCCTTCTAGGTTAACACTTTTATGTACCTAACATAGAGAAAACCACATATGGTGGAAATGATGATATTAAATGAGATTTATTTTGAATTTGCCTCAAAAAGATGAGTGAGATGGAAAAAAGTGAGAGTAAGGGTTGAAAGTATGAAATGGACATTAATTTGAATTCACCCCAATTTATTCTTATGAATGTCATTGCTAGTTCAGATTATTTTTGTGAGTATTGTGAGTAGAGATTATTATCGTAGAATCCCTAAAAGTAAAGATTATTGTTATGAATTTTATCTTCAATAATAATAAAGATTAACATGAAACATTCAGAGACTCGGAGTTATTTTATTATAATAAAATAATACTGATTTTGATTGAGAACAGCCAAAGTAACAAAGTTTGACTCAAAAAGTCAAAATGTAAACTTAGAAGGAGTACCCCAATAATCCAGCGAACTGCTTTAAACCTAGCATTGTAAACCAGAGTGTTGGATTGAAGGTAATTGGCATAACCCGGTTCTGGCATATGATTCTTCTCATTCTCCACCAGAATTCCAACCGCCTCTTCAAATTCTTCTCTGGAAAACGGCGCCGCCGCATTGCAGACTACACTAGGCTGCTGCCGCGGCGGCGGCTCTGCGGCACTGGACTCATTTAGCGGCGGAGGAGTCAAGTCCAAAACTTCGTCGCAAAGCAAGCCGTCGTGATCCATGTATATCGATAGGAAGGCGGCATGAAGAAGGAAAGCGGGAGTACGTGGAGGAAGAAATATAGGAGCAGTTCATTGTCAAAAGACACGACCATTCTCGGTTAAAGGACCGCCCGGAGAACTGTTCCCGCCTTAAGATATGATGATGATAGCATCATCATTATTGGTTCGTCATTAAATTACAGTTTATTACAACTCCTTAATTGGATTTTTTTCAATAAATTTACCAAAATAAAATTTATTAATAAAATATATGGTAATAGTTACTGCAATGTCGTGTCATGGTTACTTAGGTTTATACTTTATACAATGAACATGAGTTGTTATGATTCGATTACTACTGTAGTCATTAGTCACATTTTTGTAACTAATATTTATTTTAATCATAAATATTTAATTATTTCCCGCTTAATTTATAAAATTATTCATCCTTTAATTGAAATAACTGATATAAATGAACCTCAGCAACATTATCCGATATCATCAATTCACCGTCGAAAAGAGATAATATGTTTTTACTTTGGACCGTTTTCAGTCCCAGACCAGACTTAAGATGTTTTATTTGGACTATAATTTGCTGGTTTGGTCTGGTCTGGTCTATTTTATTCAGGTCTGGTCTGTTTTGGTCTGCTCTGGTCTGGTCTGGTCTAGTCTGGTCTGGTCTGAAATTTTAATTTTTATATTTTTGCATAAAGATTTTATTTTTTATATCTATTAATTTTGGGAAGACGTTCAGAAACCTAGAGCAACGGATGCATGATGATATTTATTATTTTATAGTACTTTTTTTTGTTCTAAAAAGATTTATAGTTTATCCATTATTCATACAATTTAGTTTACAAATCAAGATTTTATTTATTTATTTTTATTTCTTTGTTTTTTACAAATCAAGATCATCTATATTATTCTGTCACTTGTATGACTTAAAATACGAACGGACTAAACCAAACAATAATAAAATAGTAAGTGTACTAATAATAACAACAATAACACTACTACTACTACTACTACTACTACTACTACTACTACTACTACTACTACTAATAATAATAATAATAATAATAATAATAATAATAATAATAATAGTAATAATAGTAATAATAGTAAGAATAGTAATAATACTACTACTAATAATAACAATAACAACAACAATAACAACAACAACAACAATAATAATAATAATAGTAATAATAATAGTAATAATAGTAACAATACTACTAAAAGTAATAACAATAATAATAACAACAACAACAACAACAACAATAATAATAATAATAGTAAAATATGGTCTGATCTGGTCTGGTCTGATCTGTTTTAGTCTGATCTGGTCTGTTTTGGTCTGGTCTGGTCTATTCTGGTCTAGTCTGGTTTGGGACAAATTACAGTCCAAGTAAAAACAACCTTAAACAGAACATACCAGACTTAAATAGACCATACCATACCGGACTTTCATATTTATAAATACACAAAGAATAAACATTCACCAGACCAGGCCAGATTTTAAACAGACTAGACAAGATCGACCAGCAAATTTCAGTGCAAGTAAAACATCCATACTCCCCTCTGTCCTTTAAAACTTTGTCAAATTTGACCGGCATGATGATTAATAAAGTAAAAAGTATGTGGTTGAAGTTTGTGCAGAAGAGAGACAATTAACTAGAACTAAAAATTCTTTACTTAAAAGGAAAGTCACAAAGGTTAATGGAACAACAAAAAAAGGAAAGTTGTGAACGTTTTAAGGGACAAAGGGAGTATAGGGTAAGAGATAACTCAGTTTGCATGGGGCAGCTTCTTTACTAAAATGAACTGTGCAATGTATCTCAGGTGCCCAGTTCAGCTGCAGAGCAGGGGTTAGAGGTGGGGAGGAAATGCTTAATGAAACACATGAAGGCAGCAATTTGTCCTTGGTAACTCTGGGAAAATTCAATACTCCCTCCGTCCCGAAAAGGTTGATTGAATTTCCTTTTTTGGATATCCCAAAAAAATTTGTCATTTCCATTTAAAGTAAAAAATATGTGGCTAAAATTAATTTTCTTTCCTCTGCACAAATTTCAACCACACAGTTTTTATTTTATTAATCCACGTGAAAGTCAACTTTGGCTCAAAGGACTCTTGACAACATTTGTTCTTTTTCTTTTTAACATTTTCCAAAACTTCTGTATAGTATTTGGAGGTTAAGGATTATTTAGAAAAAAAAAGATATTATTCACACATACAAAATATATTTTTTGTAAACTACGGAGTATAAGATTTTATTCTCCCGTGCATCGCACAGGTGGAATACTGATTTCAACAAATCGAGTACTTGACATTATTATTCAATAAGCATTCGTATAGATTACCAAATATCTATATTCGTTAGGTTTAACAATCAAATCGGATTTAATATTTGTATTCGCTTCATTTATTGTATTCGAATATATTTGATTCTTCGAATCGGAAAAGAATTAAACTGTCCAATTTATCAAAGTAAATAAAAGAAAGAATTTCTTAAATAGGAGTAAAAAAGTTTTGAAATTCTAAAATAGGATTATCATGTTTTTTATTCTTTGAATATGAATAAATTTCTGCAAAGTTTGGCATTACTAGGCTTTAATTAAGCATGACATTTTTTTCAAGCTTGGCAGAATTACTCCAAGTTTGGAATTTCAAAACATTTTGGAATAAATACATGAAAGTCCTATTTTGAAATTTCAAACCGTTTTTACTTCTATTTAGGACAATTTATATAAATAAAATTAGAATGTACGAAGTATAGTTTATCATTTTACGCCATTTTCAGATATAGTACATATTTCATACACATCATACATATCTACAACACGTTTCTCTAAAATTAACATCAATATAAGTGCGTTAATGAATAATTATAGTACCAATTCAAGATAAGCTATCTTAAGATTATGTGACTAATCTAATTATTTAAAACAAAACATGCAAACATCTACGTACAAGTTTCAGTTCATTAGTATTATGTGATTAATATTTTTACATTATAAATATATTTCCATATGATTTGAATATATTCAGATATTATCCGAATCGAATATATATAAATTGTAATATATATACAACTTCCTCCATCTCAAAAAGATTTGCAAATTGACTTTTCTAAGTCAATGATAATCAACTTTGACCAATGATATATTTTAATACGAAATTATTTAGAATATGAAAACTATATCAAAATATTCCTTATTGAAAATATTTTCATAAAAGTATAAAATTTATAAATTATATATAAATATACGGAGTAATAACTAAAATCATTACTCAAATTTTGTCATCATTGACCAAGAAAAGTCAATTTGGCAAACCTTTTCTGGACGGAGGTAGTATGTAGTATTTATTTCGTATTCAAAAACTATTCGAATTGAAATGACTACTTTTGCATATGGACAAAAATGGGGCTAACATAGTCATATATTTGACAAAACATGATGCATCATATGTTCATGTTATTGATGGATTTTCATATCACTAATAGGTGTTATCATCAGATTTAATGTCACTTTCGATCCGGTTGTTTTTAATGGGTACGAGTCTATATTTTATTCCGTTTACCCGGACATGGATCCAGATCCATTAATATTTTAAATAAACAGGTCGGGTATGGTACATATGATTCCGACCCGTTAAGGACCCGAACCCGTTTGAAAAAAAATATTTGTATAAACCAAGCATTCCAACCCAGCTGGTTGTAAGGTTACCGTGCCTAGTAAGAGGTCTCGAGTTCGTAACCCGCTAGGCACATAAAATGGTTTGAAACTCAATTGAGTGAGTTTCAGCCCTGATTACTCCAAGCCCCCCAACTCCCCTCCAAAACCCCCCGGAGTAAAAAAACACTAATACATTAAGTGATTAGTTATAACACGTTAAATAAAATAGAAACTAATATACATATATACATAACAACATATAAAGTTATTAGTTGTGAATTTGTGATTATTCAATAAAAATATACACATTAATACACAAATACTCTATAAGTGATACTGATCAAGATAGTAAGATAACCTAAAACTAATGCCCATTTTGGCCGTATATACATTTTGATAAAGTGTGTATTGACTATTGAGCTTGGTAGGAAAAACACAAGATTTATTAGTATTATTATTAATATTATAATATCATTATCATATATAATACGGAGTACTACAAATGATTTTATACTCTTAGTAGACCAAGAGATCTTTTTATGACTTAATTTCTAGTTTATTCTACGAGCTTTTTGTGCAAGAGAAAGCGATGCAAAGTGTGAAACTATATGCATGTACAAGAACCGATACTTTATTAGATAAAAGTACTAAATTTCTATGAGAGACCTTGATTTTTTTGAAAAGCGAAGATATATTTTTGCTTTTAAATTTGTACACTTTGCTTTATTTCACGTACATGCCTTGCTATTTTCACAAAGTTTATAATAGTGTGCGTATCATACTTGGCGGGCAGGTCTACCCGACCTGATTCCGAGACCCGTTGGGTCTGGATCCGGGTCCAAATTTTCAGACCCGTCGGGTAAACAGATCGGGTTCGGGTCCATTATTAGCTTAGTTGATCTGGGTCTAGAACACTATGTTCCGACCCAGACCCGACCCATTGACAGGATTCACATGTTTGGTTAGTGGAGTACGAAATCTCTGTCTCTTTCACAATGAAGCATAGTCGGAGGGCTTATAGTTCATTTTGTTTTTTTTAGAAAAATTATAACAAATTCTTACTAATAGTAACTTCACATGCATAAACCGATCTGCAATTCAGGCACTTACTTCTTCTGATAGGGTTGGCGATTGCATATCTGATCTAAGAAGTAATTTTTTGCTTTCTAGGGTTCAGGTCTCATTGTCTTTTATAATTGCGTGTGGTTTTGATGTTTTAATATATACGTAGTACTTGTTTCTTTCTAAAATAAGGATAAGAATTTATTACCAAAAGGAAATTAGATCAAGGGAAAAACACATCAGTTCAATAAGAACCACCTGAACATTAAGGTATTATGATTGTTGGGTTTCATCAAGTGCAGACATTGTGTCTAAGCGAA